ATAGTGTCTGTACTGTGATTGGCTCCTCTGCCTTTCAAGAAATGCCTGAAGGAGCTGCGCTTTTTGGGTCCGTCTGCCTGGTTCTTCTTCTGACCTCCTTTTCCATCCTCCTCTGTAGGTGAACCCGGACTCTGTGGGGAGGCTCGGTCCAACTTTTCCTTGTTTGCATTGAGAAAGCCGTTCTGCAGACCGTTCCTCTGGTTCAACCCACCTACCAGCGAGTCCCTCTGAGTCGACAAGTCCTGTAGCGAACCCGTCAGACCCAAACTGTTCCCGAAAACCAGCAAGTACTTGGGATTGTGGTACTTATGCGCAGGAACTTTCAGGTCAATCTGCCTGGAGTCCCCAACCGATACCTGAAAGCGAGATGTAGTGACGGGCAGAGGCCGGATGTGCTGCATCTTTGGCTTCATGACTGGTGTAGGAAGAGGCGGTTTAGTGATGTTGAACTCTCTGTAGAGGTCCACCTGCTCAGACGCTGCGTACAGCTCCCGGAAGTCGTTGTCAAAGAAGTCCACAGTGTGTCCCGACATCACCGTGATCATGTTCCTGTCCAGCCGGGACGAACTCCAAGTGAAGCTGCAGGAGAAAAAACAGGCGCGTAAACCAAAGCGGTGATTTAAAGTGGACAGGAAATATGAGATAAAACACCGGGAGACACAACTGCTTGTATTTTATTATTTAAGGCCATTTAAAGAATATATACATATACACACACTCTCCTATTTAGCAGGTTTTGGCTGAATCCAACAACGTCAGAGGTCAAACTGGGCTTTTTAGGGCAACAAGAAGTGCTTCCAAGTCTAGTCAGCAGGTTCAGTAACCATTCATCACAAGCTGCTGAGATTCACTTCAATTCAATTTTGTTTAAATAGCGCCAAATCACAACAACAGTTGCCTCACAGTGCTTCAGTATGACCTTGATAAGATATGTCCTTGGTTCTTTTGTAACAGCTACATCACCATTTTTGGGTCTTTTAGATGTAAAAATGTAAACTGTGTAAATTCTGGTTAAGACTGGAAGAAATTTGATGAAATCCAATATGGCCGTTATGTCAGGGGTGTTTCCATGTGTCGGCCGTAAGTTTTCATGCTTCTTTTCACTGATTACTTTAAGGCTAACATCAGCATCACCAAATGGGACCACAGAACAAATTTCATGCAAATTAAGTAGATACAGCACTAGATACACTTTAGATCTTACCGTTGGTGCCATATTTTGTGAGACTATAAAATTGGTGGATTGTTGCAGCATAAAGTCAGGTTTTAAGACGATCGATGGGAACTCGTTGAGGCAAACCTTGCACATGGTTCCTCCATGAACACAGCACCAACTTTGACCCTTTGGTGGCGCTACATTGTTTGAGATGCATG